TGACATCTTGATCTTTCTACTGTCATTGTTCAATTAGATTTTAAAATCTTGATATATTTTGGATGGAGGATGTTTCCATAAAATACATATAATACGATTGTTCATCAGTTCCACGAAACTTTCATTATAATGGCTGAATTAATAACTTCTAATGCTTTATTTTGTGTCTAGTTATTAATATTATTACTTATATAATAGGTTTGAATTTATTTGTCTGAGAGACTGGAATAAAGTGTAATGTTTTTAAACTTAGTACCAAACATATTGTTTAGTCCGTTAATTTATTCCATTTTTCAACAAATACTTGGGTGCATTGTATTGATTAAAAAAGCTAAATCTCCATGTACTATATTTTAAAACGTTTAAATAGATTTTATCGATTAACAACCTCTGCTGCTAACATTATTGTATATTATCTCTTTAACAAAACAACCATAGTTGTTCCACATCCATATTTATTTGATTCATAATTTTTAATGGTTGTGTTCAATTAAAACGATAGTAATACTTTAATTATTGGTGAAATTTCCATTGAAATCAAGTTAAATGTTCTGCTGATAAAAACTGCAATAAATCATGCTATTAGCTAACCAGATATTACATTACTTGATCAAAGTTCTTTATAATATACCGGCGATTACGTTACTTTATTAAAATTCTCTGTTAAAATACCAGAGATTGCATTAGTTGATTAGAGTTATCTGTGACATAGCAGAGATTACATTACGTGATTAAAGTTTTCTGAAATATACCAGAAATTACACTACTTGATTAAAGTTATCCGTGACATAGCAGAGATTACATTACGTGATTAAAATTTTCTGTTAATATTGCATAAGTTGTTCAAAGTTCTCTGCAAATACACAAGATATTACATTAGCTTCTGAAAGATCTCTGTTAATGAGACTGTTAGATATGCTGTGAACAGTTCAGATGCTGTGTGAATCGTTATAATTTTCATTTACATCAATTTATAGGTTGTGCTAACCAAACTGTAGTAATACATGGTATCTAGCGACTAAGTACTTTGAAAGTTTCTTCTTTAACTTGCTTCAAATTTTACGACAGTAAAGCATGATGATGAACAATCAAAAGCTACAGTAGTTGTTACAAAATTTTATTGATTCAACTGACCCGTTTTGCTGTTAACAATCTAGTACAACATTTTTAGATCAACAGATGCAATATTAATTGTTTGAAAGAATTACTAAAATTGGTTAAAATATTACCAATTAATCAAAAGCTACATAAATTGTTTGAAAGTCTCTCTCTTAACAACTCGACTCAAAACCTTTATTGGTAACAACCTAGTAAAGCACCCCCATCAGAAAATCAAAAGCGGTATTTATTGTTTGAAAGACTGATTTTTTTTAGCTGCAGCATATAATGGCTCTGAGTTTCTTTTTTCTTTTCAAGTACACACTTTTAGCTCATAATTGGTGGCTAATTATATAGCTATATAATTATAGCTATAATTATAGCTATAATTATATAGCTAATATCGTAGCTAATAATATAGCTAATAAAAAGGAAACAAAGGTCTCATACAATAATGTACTTTAATCCTGCCTAAATGAATTTCAAGTGCCGTGGCTATTGAGGATTCCCTCTTGTTTATTGATGAAAATGTACCTATATTGTTGTTTCCAAATTATTTGTATACTATTTATAAGATTATTTTATATTTGTAATTTCGAATTATCAAGCATTATAAACTGTCAGTTGAAAAAATGGACCAGTTAATAATGCTCTTAAGTATAATGGGTAACAACACGATTTTAAGGATTCATAATGTGTTAGTAATAGAAGTATATATCCGAAAAGACATTAGATGCCACTTTAATCATTTTTTTTTCATTAACTCATATTCCCTTTTTTTTCCACAGTAAATCGATGTTTGTTGTGTGAATGGGGACGAGTCAGATGAAGGAGTAAAAAGTTTAATACTTGTGGGTTTTAGATTCGTTTCACAGTTACCATAATAAAAAAATGTCTGTCACTGACGTCATCATTGATGCTCATATATATATATTTATATGGTCTGTTTTCCTCTGCTTATAGTGTCTAGATAGCAAATCATAATCTGGAATTTAAACAGATGTTGCATTAGCAGCCAAATATTACAGTCTCCTAGCAAGAAATGTGGAGTTTAATTAATTTTAAAGGAGTTAATTGGTCGTTGATCTGTGTCTGAATCAAAAATAAAATGAGGAAATGTTACGATTATTAAAATATAATTCTCAATTTTGATGCTGAGAAGCTTAAGTCTTCTTATATTTTCAAATCCTTGGCAAATGATATATTTTGAACATATAATTGTAAGCATATAGCATGAATTTGTATATAGCATATAGGATGAAAATAGATTGTGATAAAAGTTTGATTAGCTTTAGGTGGACTTATTTTATTATAATATCCACATTTCCAGGGCAGAAGCTTCTCCATGTGGTGTAGGAGGACAAATATTAGCATTATTTTGAGAGCTAAGTTTAAATGATTGTCGAAACTCCCAGCAGTTTCAATTGTGTGGCGCTACATGCACAAAAGACTGCATGTTGAGAGACCTTTAGAGCTTTTTTTTTACGCAATCAATCTATACGTGTTTGTTGGTTTTACTATTTTGTTACTTGGAGTGGTCCTTCTAGTTAGAATGATTTCACAAAGCTATTTTACTCTTTTAAAACCACATAGTCTGCATCCTGAGAAACAAGATGAAATTAAAACACTTTGAGAAAAAAAAATCTACATTTCTTATCTAACTGTTGTTATTGAAGAATTATATATAACGTTTCACTTTTAGCCTGACATATACATTTAGATAGAATTAAACATACTCAAGATTATTGGAATTATATTTTCTCATCTCTAATGAAACTAAGAAACCCAATATTTAGGTCTTTTTCCAATTTTTCGAAAGTAATGCAAACATTTCACAAATTTATTTTGCACTAAACAGAATAAAAAGTATATGTTCCAAAATAATATTAAACATGACTGATACCATTAGTCGATAACTTTTAATCTAATTGTTGCATTCTACTGCTCTCCGATTGGTTCACTAGGAACCCGCTTCTTTCTTATCATGTTTCTCGTCGTGCGATCTAATTTCCGGATGTTTGGTGTAACATGTTGTTGAAGCGATAGCACTTACAGGAAGAAGAGAAACACTGTCAAACATGTGTATTCAATGTAAACATTACAGAGATGTAACCGACGCTTATTACGTCCCCCATTTAACCTGCCGTGGAATATTTTGAAACGTGGCGATAGCTCATCTCGTTTTTTCTTTCGGCGAAACCCACTTACAATTCACAGCGACATCTAATTTTCCGGTTTCGTGAATTTTAAGGTACAATGCGTTCAGGCATTATTCAAGCAATCGAAGAACTATGAAATATAACGACTGGATTATTCTGGTTTGGTAAAGTCACGGAATGTATTTATTTTTAGACACTACTTAGTGCTGTGAAATCTTTAGTGTTTTATATAAAACATATTTTCTAGAAACGGTAAGACTTGGAATAATTCTTAATTTCGCGAGCGGAGTGAAGAGGAACAGTTTCTGAGCGCCCCTGATTAAATCAAAATTACTGTCAAGATATTTGTAAGAGTTTTACTGAAGCCCAGTTAATCCTCTTTCATCTGAAAAAAAAGGCAGAAGGTTTTTTTTTTGTTAAATACGCTTTTTGTAACAATTGTTGTGTTTAATGTTATATTACAATAAAACAATGTCAATCCTTTCGTGTTTAGTCACATTCTTTAAAGAAACAGAGTATCATAAAGTTAAATAGGATTAACTGACACCGACGAAAAGTACAGAGGTTAAATTTTAGAAATAACTTTAAATATTCAATCTTCCGCAAAAGCAAATTATAGGAATGTCTCAACTTTGTTTAAATTGGAGATTGGTGTAGTGTGAGTTTTACAAAACTAAACGAATAGTCTATATACTAAAAATTACTAAGATTAGGAATTTTATCTTGTGCGCTTACAGCCTCCTTTTTCCGATATTAGTAATCTCACAAAACATTAACAAATCCCTTTATCTGAACATTAACAAATCCCTTTTATTTTATAAATGATGAGCGTAACACTAGTAAGAGCCTCAAGTTTTTGTTAGAACCGTGTTTAGTATGCTATTCACAAACTTTGTTTATCTTGTATCGTAATTCCATATTGATTTAAAATATTTAATTCAATTATTTGATATGTTCCTTAAGGCTAATGAAAGGCAACAAAGTTCTGATTTTAAAGTGTTGTAATGGAGAGGATGAAATTTTGTTTCGACAATCATCTTGCTGTTCACTAACATGTGTCTTTGTGTAAATGAACAAACTAGTCACATTCATAACGAAACAATAGGCTGGAAACACGATAAGTACGATATTTGTTGTGAATTTTCCTCCACAAATATTTTGTACCATATAAACAGTATCAGTCATATGCTTCGAAGATATAAAAAACGGTTGCATTTAAAAATGTTTTAGCATTTAGGCCTTCATGTTTTAAAAACTCACTTTGAAAGTTAAGTACAGCAAACATTCTGGGTTAAGAGAAAATGAGTTAATGCGGTACGTTTCACTGAGTTAACATCAAACAAACAGGTAATGTTCTGTTGTAAATGTAACACATAAAATTCTTCTCTCTTAATCCTGAATTTTAGCTGTCAGTTTGTTGCAAAGGACATCTCTTTTACCTAAAACCATCGTTTTGTTCTTCTAAAACATAGCACAATGAGATCATAGTAACTATTGAACTACAAATGACCCCCGAAGTATGGTTCTTCCTTAGCTATTATTTTTAGCTAATTATTTCACAGCGGAACTGTGCTTAGTTTAATACTGTCTTAAACAAAGTTTCGCTGCGAACAGTTACACTAAATGGTAAATAATAAGTGTAAGTTGTTAAAAACAAACTGGTAATAGGATATGTAAATCTTTCTAAATAATATTTCAGATTTGACTTTCTGCTAATTATTTAATTCTGTCATTCCTACAAAGAAGCCGTGAAGTAGTCGACCAAATTTCTTAATTCATCTGGAGAATTCACCATCATGGCGGAACAGAGATCCCCCGAGATAAATGCAAAAACTCCAATGCTGCATGACTCCAACATAATCCGAATGACTGAGTCACGGAGTTCCTGTGGTAAAAAAGTAAGACCTTTTGCAACATTGTTTTTGTTTTCTTGGTTTTAAAACTTAGCTACACTGTTGAATAAAATTATAACAACGTTTATCACAAGAGTGTTTATTGTTCAAATTGATAAGAAACAAACCTTAATTGTATGTGTATGCATTCTAATGAACTATTGCTATGAAAATTAATATTCTCTCATTACGTGTAAGCTATGATGGACAAAATAAAGTCAAAAGTAAAATTCACGTTCCTGAATTAAAGTTTTTGTTTCTAGAAAAAATACATGAGTGTTAGAATGTTTGTTTTTTGTTTTTAATAGAAAAAGCTATACACTGGGCTAGCTAAGCTGTAGCCACCGCAGGGAACGAGCCCAGAATTTTACCGTTCAATACTCTCAAGCTTATTGCTCATTAACCGAGGAGTGTTAGAAAAAAGTATCAAGTACTCTTTAGTTATTAATGTAATTCCTTTACTTACACCAACATTGGTTCATCTTGCTAGTGTTAAATAGTGGAAACAGGATTATCAAGGTTTGTAGTCAAGGCGTATGGTATATAAGCTAATAATAGGTATAAAAACTTCTTTTTGAATACAAGTTCTGAACTTATATTTTCTGACAACACTCCAAGACATTTGCAACAAGAGAACCACGAAGAGATACAGGAAACATGGTAACTTCAATGTATTTTTATACTGCTGCTATATTTAGCGCAAATGAGTTGTCTGAGCTCTTCTTAAAGAACTAGTGAGTCCTATTCTCTCATATAATTTGAAGACTTTATTGCCATCACTGCTACTCATATACATAAATAATTAAATATATATTTTATTATTGTTATGACATATATCCCAACGTAATTTGAATTATTCATTTTTGTTGTATATCACCACGGAATTTCTGTAAGATCTTTAGAACATATTAAGTATTCATTTTTCAACGAGATATTTCCATGAAATGAGAAGATACACCAACAGTTTGAGCGCTTTTGAAGAGTGTTCATTTCTTTATCTTCTGGATATAAATCTTCCTTAGAAAGCCTTAACGACTGTTACGTTGTTTTTTGGGTGGACTTAGAATGGAAAATGTGAATTACAGTATAGATGATAGTTTTTATTTTTGTGGGTTGTTTTTAACATACTTACATAAAAAACTTCGTTTCCAAAAGTATCAGTATTTAATTCTTCTTGGCTAAGCACAAAGCTACACAATAGACTATCTGTGTTGTGCCCATCACGGGTATCAAAACAAATTTCCTTGCGTTCTAATCTTTCAGAATTACCGCTGAGCCACTAGGGACATTATTTTGTGATTCCCAGCACACTTTCAACGAGAATATATATATATATAATTCCTAAGTTTACGTATGCTATTCTTTAGCATTTGGACTAAGTCACAGCATAGTACTTGTGTGTTTAGACTTTCTACTTTTCAAATAGTTAATTTTTATCTGCCTGAGATAGGGTTTTGCGTTTGATATGATATTGCAAAATTTGTATGTTATAGATTTTTTAGATTAAATAAATTTCAAATGATCCAACCTATTCTTCGTTTGATAAAATCATAACACTAATATTTTAATGGATAATGTCTCCATTTTAATAACTAAGTGATTCTTAAGTAACATGTTTTTTTCTTTTTACAGTTACGAATATTTACTTTGTTATGTAATCAAAAAGTGTTCAGTCACATTTCTGGATCCACTACTAACTTTGCTTTAATAACTTTTCTCTTATCAATAATTTTATCATACATTCACTATCTAAAAAAGAAGAGAAATAAAATGGTGCGTTGTGTATCTTAGTTATCATTTCCCTAAAGGCTATATGTTTAACACTTAGAATTAAACTGGGTATGTATAATAGTGCAACCTAATACCAAAGAATCAATGGGTTTGTAACTTTACACGTGATTGGTAGAGTGCTAATTCTTTTGTGCATATCTTGTTGGAAAAACAAACAGCTTAACGTCCCCGTAGAACATTTTAATCATCGGAATTGCTTGTTCACTGATCTCATAAAGTAGTCCAAACAAGCTTTAAGCTGCGGATCATGTATGCATAGTGAATTTCTTTTGTATTGGATATCTTTGTCTTTAAACCCGTTGTGAGAATGTTGGTCTTTCTTGTAGAGTCATTACTAATCAAACATGAGACGAAACCGTTCTCCTTGTGTTATTGGTGCATTAAACTTGACTCTTCTGACCTATCTTTGACAGTAAATCGGTGTTTAGCCCGAATATCAAGGTTTATTAGCCAGCCCTTACAGTAGAGAAATAAATAATAGGTTTTAAGTCTTTCATGCGACAAGTTCTGAGGATATATTGTTCTTAACGTAAAGGTGTTAAACTTAAACAAGCAATATTTATAACACATGCTATTGTTTCGTACGCTGTAAAGCTTGGATAATATTAAACAATATACTAGGTTTTCAAAAGTATACTTAAATAATAATAACGATAAACCTGTTTTTGAAACATACATGCTTGCGAGCCTCTTTCGTAAAACGTAAGGTGTAGTGTAGCTTGTTAGACAATAGACTTTACAAACAAGTTACAAGAGTAATTTATTAGCCCTAAAAATAGATACATGCAAGCCTAATATTACTACAAATAACTAAGATCTTATAACAAATTGTTAAAGAAAGAAGTTTAAATAACAGAAGATAGTTCAGGTAATTATAGTAGGTTCCTGATTTTAGTTTCTGATCTTGAATTGTCTTAATTATTAAAAATCACACACACACAAATCACTAAAACTTTCTTATTCAAATGTTTCTGCGGGAAAAGTTTGTTTTACTTTACGATTATGCCAAAATTAACATGGAATACAATGATATGATTGTTACTGCAATAAGAATGCTGAAGTTGTATGATTTAAATACCTTCCGACAATAAAAGTTCTATTTTTTTACTTATGACAAGCTGAAGGCCCGTTGTATGACGGGAAGAAAAGATTAATTTGTCTTTCTCAAAAATATATCTAAATAAATGTTTTATGAACATGTTTTCTAAAAATTAATTATAATCTAATAACAATATATGTATGGAGAATGACTATACTATTTCTGGTACTTCACGAAAACAACATTTTTTATGTATATTTGGTCATCTCCTTTAATTATTGCTTGATTACCATTTTGACTTCTGTATATTTTTAAGTTATGTTCAAATGTTCTTCTTGGTAAATCCTTATATATTGAAACATGTGAAAAACGGATTCTTAAAGACATATTCCAATTTGTTCAACTGCATTACCCTGTAAATTATTAATTGTGATGGTAAAGGCAGTGAATTATATTATGAATTTCTGACTCTTCTCTTTGGACTGCCTTACTAGTTTTGGCTTTGTCAGCCTGCTGAGCTGAAGAAGTGTCTTTTAATTTGGGCATTTTCAAAATTGAGATGTGCTGCGAGTAAAACATACGGGTTATTATAGAGTTGTAGCTGAGGGTTCCGATTGGACAAAACTTGGTGATGTTGCATCAGTGTGTCTCCTTGACAACCAAGCAAGGTTAATGGGAAATTTCAGCCATTGATTATGATATTTGTGCACCAGCAATACAAAGCGTGGGGTGCGCATATACCCGATTCGATTTTATTACTCATCACGGTCTCTACCAACCTATCCTCAAATCTAATTACATGCCCAAAGTAGCCAATCGTCTGTTTTATATATATATGACTGGAAGAATTAAAAAAAAAAGACAAACTTGCTAGTCGCGGCAGAAAGCGCTATCGTTTCGTGCAAGTTGTGTGTCGATCTGTACCGCAATGGCCGATATCTCGACTGACAGACAACTTTTTGTCTTTATATAGTAGACTGTCCCAAAATGAACGTAAAATACAACATTATGATTGGTATTCCTTAAAATAAGCTGTAGCTGTGTGATTCAAAAATCAGAGGTTTCACTAGGCACTGGAACACGGGGCCCGTTCCCCCATTCTATTTGATAACGCCCCAAATCCTTAGTTGGTGTCTTGAAAATTCAGAATTGAAAATCATGATCGATATCATACTGAAACGCCGGAAATTCCCTCGCCTATGGGCCAAAGCCCTGAATCTTTTAGATATCTGGCAACGCTTCTGAAAACATCTATCAGTAAGTGTTTTCAATGTTTGTGAAAAACGTTTGTTTCACATCATTCATAAGTTTTATGGAGTAAAGCACAAAAAATATCAAACTTACAGCTTAATAATCGCCCGTGTGAAGAATTAGAGACAGTTGATTTTATTCAGTGTCAAAACAGTTTTTTTTCGTATAACAATATATAGAATTTGTTTCAATAATGTTAATAAATATGAACAACAGCTGACTTGTACAATTATACGCTATTATTGTTAAGTTACAGTGAACATTAACAATCTATTAGTTCACTTTAGAGTTTTTGTTCTAAGCGCAAAGCTACTCAGTAGCTATCTGCATTGTGCTAACCACAGTAATCGAACAATGGATTTTAGCGTTATAAACGCTCAAGCTTACCGTTGAACTACGTGGGGAACTTTACAGTAGATTGACTGGTCAAGCTCTAGCACAATAATTACAACCTATGGTTCCATGAAACTCCGGGGTTCTGCGAAAGGTCATCAGGGGTACTCCATACATATAGCAGATAATGACTTTTGTTGTATTTTCTTTCAACTATTGAGTGTTAACCCGTCAGGGATCAAATTTATTTTCAAAAATCGCGAGTTAGTTGATATTCAGCATAATATTTTTGTACGTTTCTTCACAATTGTATTAACAATACTGTTACGAACTTGGTTACTTTCATCTAAGCTAGGCTTTAAGAGTGGGTTAAGGGTTGAGGTTTCATGGCTTCGTAAAGTTTGAAAACTACCGTACTAGACTAACCTGTAGCAGGCACGGATTCTATTCAGTTAGACTCAATGTTAAAAACTACCAGCAAATTTCAGAATATAAATTGGTATGCTGTTATTCATGTGTTACCTATACGTTAACAGTATGCCAGTTGATTTTACAATGAAGGCTGGTATTATTATTGTATTGGACTAAATGTTAAAATACCAACTGGTTTCTGAATAGACATTGGTATGATGTTATAGATTGAATGTTAACAAGATTCTTGTTGTTTTCAAAGTACAGATTGATATACTGTTATTAGAGAATTGGTTTCTAAGCCTACTTTATTAACAGTTTTACATCGGATAAATGACACAATACATTTCAGTTAAAGATATGTAGACGATTTCTTTTTGGCAGGTTGGCTTTAACGTTTAAAACCCCCCAGTGGCGCAACGGTATGTCTGCGGACTTACAACGCTAGAAACCGGGTTTCGACACCCGTGGTGGGCAGAGCACAGATAGCCCTTGTGTAGCTTTGTGCATAACAAAAAGACAAACAAACAAATTTAACGTTTAAAGCAGTTATATTCCACATTAATTTATATGATTAAAAATATATTGCGTGAAATCACTCGAGCTAGAAGTTGATTTAAAAGCATGAAATTTTAACAATAATTTATTATGTTTGATAAAAAATTTAATTTTTATTTTAGATTTAAAAATTCATTATTGAACTTAATTACTCTTCTCTTCCGTGACTTTTTATTATAAATGTGTTTTAGAGGATCTGTTTTTTTTATGATAAATGTGTTTTAGAGGATCTATTTTTTCCATGAGTACTTTCAATGTTATTGTTTAAGTAACAAGTAAGGCAGTTTTTTTTATTTGCTTATTAATAGAGTGATTGCCGTTGATAACATGGGACGTAAGCACTTTACGAGAGTTTGTGGGGAATTGACAATTTTCTGAAAAATAAACGGTGCGTTTAAACATAAAATCTTACTTTTCTCAATGTTGGATGTGACCAAAACAGCCTTTGAGAACCAAATGGTCCCTTGTCCGAATGTTATGCACAGTTAAAACTAATGATCCTACAAAAAGTACATTTTGAGGAAGTCACACAAAAAAATTAAAGAAGTTATAGTAACGTCCCTCACAGGAGAATTTTGATTCAGCCCACCTATTTTATACCTTCTTTTTTAAATTACTAACTATCAAACACCTTGTTAGAAGTTCTGGTATGTTTTAGTGTTGGTTGGTCAATCATTTGTTTCACTACAGGCCAATAACATTCAGTGACCGTGGTCAAAGGGCCGGGTAAATAATATCATACTTCCCTAACCACTTCTCTAGCACTGTCAGTCGATTCTATTAATCACCAGATTTGACATCTACAAGACACAATAGGGCCCAATTAAGTCACAACACAGTAACGAAATTATAATTTCGAACACACGTATTAAAATAGTGCAGAAATACCGTTAACGTGAATGATTGTCTTAATCACCGTATATGATCAATTATAACATGAATAGGATCTCCACAGGACTTAATAGTCCTAAATTCAGTCACAATACAGCAAAAGGTATGATATTAATCATACAGAATTTTTATTGCACGGTATGCTTCACCAAAGACGACAGTTAAGTTTGACTGCTACGATAGCCAGACTTACATATAATCAGGTACCAAATATATAATGGATAATGTAATGATAACCATTAACGATATAATAGTCAGGGACTCAGTACACAACTAATTTAAAACATAATTAATTGAATTCCTGATGAAGAACATACATCTTTTTCTTTAACAAAATTTCAGAAGATGGACTTCTGAGCTAGTGTTAGAGATAATATATTTTATATCTTTCCCGCACTTCCTGTTACTTGGTTATGTTAATATGATATTTATGGCCGATAAGTAAGAATCCATTATTTTTCTAGTTTTGTGAATGGATCAAGACGAACCTGCTTCTAGTTTTGACAGTGCTCGGCGTGTTTTTGGGTATTTCCATTGGTTTTCTGGCCAGATTCGGCGAATATGGTGAAGATGCTATCATGCTTGTTTCTTTTCCCGGTGATATCCTGATGAGGATGTTGAAGATGCTGATTCTGCCACTGATAATATCCTCCATGATATCAGGTAAGTACTTTTGTTTGTTTTAGTACAAAGCTACTCTTCAGATTATTTGCGTTCTTTCCACCAAGTGGAATCGAACCTCGGATTTTAGTGATGCAAAGATGTAAACTTACCACTGGGGACCAGGTAGTAGAAACACAATGCGTGAAACATTTAAACAACGAGTCTAATTCCTGTATAATATTTCCAGAAAAAAATAAATATATATAATTAATGTACACACGTCGTTTGTGTAATAAAAATGTAGAAATTCTGCAGCATGCGGTCTCAGTGTCGGTGTGATACTGAAAATCAAATGGTCCTTAATTTTGTTTGTTTGTAATTAATTATAAAGCTGCACAATGGGCTACCTGTACTCTGCGTACCATGGGTATCGAAACCCGGTTCCTAGCGTTGTAAGTCACTTTGAATTCTTATGTGCAACTTCTCACACCTATCTATATTTACATTTCTCCTGCAATTGATCTATGGGTATTTCTATCTACCTTGCATGTTACAAGTGACTTCAATCTAATTAAACATAGCACAGTTACATAGTTATAACTATTAAACACCTGGGTTCAGTAAAAAATAAAGAAAAGCATGATTAGCACTACGGTAGTTATTATTAATACCACTGTTGGCAGTGAATGTTTTAAACAACTGGATTCTTAGAAACCAGAAATTTAAGTTTAAACTCAGTTGGAACGGGTTAAATCTTGAAGCATATAGTATGTATTTTTTATTCTGTTCATTTTTTGTTCCTCCCTTCCTCGCAATTCATTTTTAAGGCCTTTGTATCATTTGATCTTCTATAAACTTATTGTAAGTGGAGGTGGTAATTGTATTATCTTCTGTGAGAACTTACAACAATTTGGAGCATATAAAGAGATACACATATATAGTATACCTATTTGAACTTCTTCTTAAATATTTGCATATTAAATTTAGAGAATTCAAAATAAAGCGCGATTTTCAATTAGAAGTCTAGCATTTTTAGTGTTATGTAGAAACAGCCACAAAAACTGAAATACTGCTAATACCTAACCTAAACTTTCTTTTAATTTCTAAAAATATTACTGTACTAATTCAGATGTTTATTAAAATTCCAAGTTTATAAAATTTATTTGTTACTTAGGACAAAAATACTGTACCAGTAACAGGTTGTATTTTAGAGTGTAAATGCCAGACACAAACAAAACTAGGTATATTTATGAGCATCGGAGAGCTTAATTTTACAAAGAAAGTAGAAAAAAAAAACATTCTTATTGAAATGAAAATATATCTGAATAGAAAGACATATTTTAATTATGTAAAAATAGGATATTTCCAAAACTGTACAAGAATACTTTCATCTTAAATTATACTTTTTAAGAAGTCAATTCATTGGCCCGGCATGGCCAGGTGGTTAAACCACTCGACTCGCAACCTGAGGGTCGCGGGTTCAAATCCCTGTCACACCAAACATACTCGACCTTTCAGCAGTGGGAGCGTTATAATGTGACGGGCAATCCCACTATTCATTGGTAAAAGAGTAGCCCAAGAGTTGGCGGTGGGTGGTGATGGGTAGTCTTACAATGCTAAATTAGGGACGGCTAGCGCAGATAGCCCTTGCGCGAAATTCAAAAACAAGAAGTCAATTCAATTATTTTACAACTTGATATATCACAGTTTTCAATAGGAATAAATACAAATGCGCAAGTCAGTAAAAAAAAAAAGAATGCATACATAAAACAGTAAAATATATCCAACCAACAAAACATATGGAGGTTATGTTTATGATGGGTATATAAGTAGATTTATAAATGTAAACACAAAAATATGTTAGTGATTTTACACATTTAGCCACCATGTGCGAAGTTGTTAGACTGATAACATGGCAGTCAGGATTATTCATCAACTATATAACAATCACAAATAGTACATGTAACTATCTAATTTATGACACTGGGAATGGAATGAGCAACCACTAAATATATAACACTCATAACAAAAACAAATCTTCCTGTGAAACAAATATATGTAACCGTTTAATATATATTATAGCCTGACTGGTACATGTAACCACAAAATACATATAGCAAATATAAAATATACGCTTAATCATCCATCATATGATAGCCAGGCCGATACATTCAACCACCAAATATTTGTTCAGACTGATATACGCGTATCTATAATATACATGATCTTTAAACTAATACTTATAACCATTGAATATATGAAACCCAATATATTATATAATACGCATAACTTTCACTAAAATTATAAAATAGACAAGATAAGCAACCTAGGTACATGTGCTTAACCTCTTCTGGTATTCTCCTTGCCTAAACGTTTAAGTTTTGGGTTATGGCAACTATACGAAGTGGTTGACTTATCTTTAGGCCTCGCTCAGCTGGATCCGATGTCTAGTGGAAGGATGGGTTCTAGGGCTCTTTGCTACTACTTTACCACTACCATGTTGGCTGCAATGCTAGGAATCATTCTAGTGATAGCTATCCATCCTGGTGACCCATCCATCAAAAAAGAAATCGAAACCGATTCTGAGGATAAGAATGTCTATACTTTGGACGCTTTCTTGGACCTCATAAGGTATGAGCATACTTATTGTTACTATTCATTTACGTCATGATACAATGATTATAAGAGTAAAAACCTAGACTGTAAATTTAAGATATTAACATGTGTGTATATTTACTACTTTAGGAGAACAATATAAGTCTAGTACTCTAAATTTGAGCATTCATGAGTACCGATACTAAAATGAAATTATAACAAATTTCTTTAAATTTGTTGAAAGAAATGATTTTTGATCCCAAAGAAAGTATTATTACATTTTAGCACCAATTTGTCAACCTTCAGTTTCCCTCAAGATTTATTACAAGTTTAAAACTAAGACAACCGATACAATATCGCACCTATTCGGGGTATAGTCCGTATAACACAGAATACGATGCTAGGTTCGTGACATTTTATTTGAGAAGGGGAGGGAGTTGTGTATTGGGAGTTGCCTTGTGTGATTTAAATCTACGAAACTCTTTTGTATCATTTTTAGTGCAATGAAGTGTAATATTATGAATCATTAGGGCTTTTATGCCTTCAGAAAAAAGAAGACAAAAATTACAGTTAAATAAAACGGTGCTTAACATGCTATTGGCTACAGATAAAAAAAATCGTAATTTTAAATGTAAAGAGCTGTGGGCTTGAGTGACCTTATTTGCCCCTAATAAGTTTTAAATTCTAATTCCGTTCATATGCGAGGTAGACAGAGCACTTTACTTTAGTAGACACTTCTCCTTTTACTATCTCCACTATGTAATAGTTCGCACCTCAGTTTTATATGCCTGACTTTAATGCACAAAACATTTTGTTTTTGGTCTTGTTGTCCGACTAATATTTAAATTTATTATATTCATTTTATAAATTCTGATGAGTGGTTTTAAAACACGATGTTCATTTATGTCGTTATTGCATTATTTTTATGCCAGGAACGTAAAATTGTCATTATTATCCAATAAACTGTTTAGTGCGGTCAAAAGATGAGTGGTCAGCGTGATTGTAACTTAACAATAACAGATATTTTCACAACACGTGTGATGGTAAGATTTCGCCCATTTCAATTTATTTTAGTCAGTCCTATAATGATGCATGTATATACTATAGGAGATACCGTCAGTTGCAGATGATCAGTCCTTTAATGATGCATGTATATATTGTAGGGGATACGGTCAATTGCAGATGGTCAGTCCTATAATGACACATGTATATATTGTAGGAGATACCGTCAGTTGCAGATGGTCAGTCCTATAATGATGCATGTATATATTGTAGGGGATACCGTCAGTTGCAGATGGTCAGTCCTATAATGATGCATGTATATATTGTAGGGGATACCGTCAGTTGCAGATGGTCAATCCTTTAATGATGCATGTATATATTGTAGGGGATACGGTCAGTTGCAGATGGTCAATCTTTTAATGATGCATGTATATATTGTAGGGGATACGGTCAGTTGCAGATGGTCAGTCCTATAATGATGCATGTATATATTGTAGGGGATACCGTCAGTTGCAGATGGTCAATCTTTTAATGATGCATGTATATACTATAGGAGATACCGTCAGTCACAGATAATTGGATCAATTAAAAAATAAATAAATTATAGAAACAGTTGGGATTAAATAGGGTTTCACTTATTGTTCTGCTTGACTTTTGGGTTTGTATTTTGCATATTATCAGTTTTTCTTAGGCTCTGTTTTTTTTGTCATGCTTCTAGAATAGAAAAATATATTTTGCAGGTTAATACGATTAACTAATTCTATTTTTTGTTTATTTTAGAAACATGTTTCCCGAAAATCTTCTTCAGGCCTGCTTCCAACAGGTTGAGACAACATATCGTAAGGCAAAGGCTAAGCCTAGCTTTGTACGGCCTGACGTGAACGTGACTAACATGACTGTCGTTGAAAATATTACGCAGTCCTTCCAGGAGAGAGAGCTCGCTTACAAAGACGGGACTAATGTACTGGGTATGTTAAGAAGAAAAGTTATGATAAAACACATTGACTTCCAATTCCAATATATTTTAGGAGGTTTTCTGTTTCATGCACCAAATTTCTCCAAATTTTAATTTATATTTCTAAAATCAGTATTAAAAACTACATTCAAAAGTATATATTTCTTTCTACTTGAATGAGGTGCATGAAACAGAAAAGATCCATATTTTATGTTACTTACATTTTGGTTCTAAAGGCTTACCCATCATCCCATTCCAATGTTTCTGATGTAAGTCTAAAGGCTTATAATTCTGAAAACTGAGTAGACACAGTAAAGCTTTGTGTAGCTTTGTGCTTAAATAACAAACTTAATGTTTATTCATTGCTTCATAAAAAACAGCAAATACCAATTAAAATTATTAGGGCAGAGTATTCATAATTAACAAACAAAGGTAAAATGGACAGCAATTGCCTAGTACTAGTACAGCGTGACACTTGGGGAGAGTCTTGGTGGACAAACACAAAAATATCACTCTGACCTAGGCAGTTACTGCCCATTTCATCTTTTCTTGTTCACTAACTAAATAAAATGTTTACTTTACCTGTTTCTTGCTTGAATTGTTTATCTTATCTTTGGTATTTTAAGGGTACTGTTACGTATTGCAATTTCAAATAGCCTAAACTGAGTTAAATTGTAATTTAGATTTAGTAGTTAAATAAATGCTGATATATCTCCAATTTATCATATTTGCCAACAAGATTGATAAACACAGTTGATACACGTTGGTTATATTTATAGGCGAGTGGAGAGTTTCTCGAAATTTCAGTATACTTAATAATACTGACGCTAAGGATGGCGTTTACGTACAGACATATTGTTGATTCTTACACTCGAGAATCTTCTACAACTTTAGAGAATAGGCGGGAGTTTT